TATCCAAAGAACAATTTTGCTAAGATTTACGACTGCTACTTTTGGTTCTCAGGCATAAATTCCATGGCAGTTAATCAAACTTGATTGAGTTATATCTCCCATACATTTATTCTTATCCGAAATTATTAAGATATCATAATTACGTCACATCGAAGCTACTTCATGCATTCGGTATCGATAAGTTCTCGGGCAACTTTGATCCGCTGCTTCCTTTTTTTCAATCGCTTAAATCTTACTTGCCTGAACCGATAATAAAACAATACTGTTCCACGCTGAGGAACGCCGTACAATTTATAAAACTCAGAAAACTCCGAAAAAAAAAAATTCTATGTAAAATTGATTGATCTGCTTTGGCGTTTTCAACAAATACCTTTCATCAAATCCGAAAACAAAATCAGCAATCATAAATTCGTTTTGTGTTTTCATATTTGCCGCATCATCTTCTTGTTGAGATATAAACTAATGAAATTGTTTGCAAAAACATTGGGGTAAAGCAAATACAAAAATATAGCTCCAGGGGATTAAATGGCAATTTTATAGATAATAATGGTATATTATTATATATATTAAAATTATTAATAAAATTAATAATAATTCAATATTGATACTGTGTTCCAATTTCTAAAAAAACAAACGGAACAGTGTTTTCTGTTGTATTTGTTGAAATATTACAATTTTAATTTTGAATAGTTTATTTCATTTGAATATTAATTTATATTAATTTGTTTTTTTTTTTAACTTTACAAGCCCGAAAAGCCGTTATAGGGATCTACTATATTGCACAATATACTCTTTTCCAAAAGGTTTTGTAAGTATTGTTCTGTATGAATGTATTATCAATATTAGAGGCGATATTACGGAATTTATTCCTAACCAATTTTTTTAACCGGCAATAGACTCAATATAAGGATCTTTTGGCCCACTTCTTGTACTTTCCCCACAAAAGGTTGAGCTTTTGCTTAACAATTATTCCCATAAAATCGGAATCAAACGTTCGCTTTTCTTTTAATTTGCATTCCATTATATGTATCAGAGTAAGATGAAGTTGATTACCTCGGTCCACCATATCTGGTACCTCATCCAACATTTTCGAAAATACCCATAAATATAGTCCAAATCTGTCACCTTGTAATATTTATATAAGACTTAGGTCAGATTCGAAATGGACAATATTTGCAAACTTCTTCGGAACCTAAAGAAAAGTCGAAAAAAATTAAATCGGACTATGATATATGTGGGAGCAATATCTTAATTTGGACCGATTCTAACCAATATATATGGAGGCCCTTAGGAAAAACAAAGAATTTGTAGAAAAATTCAAGTCAATCGGACAATATATGCGGCCGTACATCCTCGACTCAGAAGTTGATTCTATGAGGATCTTCAGAAGTACTTATGGGTCTATCTAGTTTCTTTCCCCATGTTAAGTTAGACAGGCCGAATGGAAGAAACTTGCAAATTTCCAAAAAAAAAAAAAAAAAAATAAATAAATAAATAAATAGATAAAAAAACTGTAAGTTCGGCCGGCCGAACTTTGAATACCATCCACCATTTGGAAAGACTTTGGCAATTCTCAAAAACAATAAAATCCATTAAAAATTCTGTTAAAATCTTGAAAATACCGAATGTAGCTGTTATATTAGGGTCTATACGACAACATGGACTTGCATAGGTAACTTAAAAAAATCGGTGTATAATGTAGCTAAAATCAACAAAATACCGAGTATAGGGAGGTTCCGTTATATGGGGGCTATACGAAGACGTGAACCTGCACAAATAATTTTGTGTCTTATGCTGTAGTGTCCATTACGAACTTCAACTACCAAATTTGAAATATTTCCGGTGAATAATGTCGCTAAAATCATCAAAATACCGAATATCGGGAGTTACCGTTTTATAGGGGCTATACGAAGACGTGGACCGGCACAAACAATTTTCTGGCTTAGGCTGTAGCCTTCATTACAAACATCAAATACCAAATTTGAAACAAGTCCGATGAATATTGTCGCTAAAATCAAGAAGATACGGAATATCGGGAGGTAACGTTATATGGGGGCTATACCAAAACGTGGACCTACACGGTCCATTTTCAATACCTGCATACAAAATATACATATGGGTAAAATTTTTCAATTTACTTTAATTCGTTCGGAAGCTAGAGTGATTTCCACAGACGGACAGGCGGACGGACATCGCCAAACCGACATAGAATTTTATGCTGATCAAGAATGTATGCACTTTGTGGGGTCTAAAATGTATATTTCGAGGTGTTACAAACGGAATGACAAACTTAATATAACCTCCATACTATGGTGGAGAGTATAAAAACCTTAAATCTGTCGGTGCAGTTCTATGGGGGCTATACCAAAACGTGAACCTATGCAGCCCCAGCATAACAAATACACATCTGAGTAAAGTTTTATTAACCTACCTAATTTCATTCAGAAGCTAAAGTGATTTCCACAGATGGATGGACAACCAGACAGACGGAGGGACATCTCTAAATTGACATAGAACTTTACGCTGATCAAAAATATATTTACTTTGTGGGGTCGAAAATGTATTTTTCGGGGCGTTACCAACGGAATGACAAATGTAATATACCCTACATATTAAGATGGTGAGTACAAAATGGGATATTAGTTGGACCGCTTATAACTCATGAAGGGCGGGACGCTTTTTGACATTTCACAACAATAGAGAATGGCATTTTGGCAGAAAAGAATAAAATCTAGAAAATTCGCATAAAAAGATGTCAATAAAAATGTAAATATTTGTATACCCTCCACCATAGTATGGAGGCCATATTAAGGTTATCATTCCGTTTGTAATACCTCGAAATATAAAATTCAGACCTCACAAAATAAACGTCAAACGTAATAAAAATGGAAATAGCATCAAATTTTAGAATAAGTTTAGATTTGTTTGAATTGGTCAACTTTGGCACGAATAATGGCTTTCAAACTGCCAATGAAACCGTCATGCGTCTCCCGAATATTGATTTGCGTTATTTTTGCCCATTTCCGGCGATGCGCTTGTTTGATGTGATCGACACTGTGGTATTTTTTAGTGCCAACCTTGCTTTCCAAAATACTCCAGACACAATAGTCCAACGGAATGGTATCCAGAGATTTAGGTGGCCATTGTGCACTGGAAATGAAGCGAGGACACTCATTTTGTAATCATTTTTGGGAGGAGCGTGCTGAATGCGATGATGATGAGTCCTGTTGGATTGTCCAAGGTCTGTGGACAAAATGTTTGCGTGCCCAAGGCTTTAATATACCCTCGCGATAATATTCGGCGTTATACTGATGTCACGGTCGATTAATACGAGAGAAGAGCGATCATCGGCTGTTATGACGGTCCACAATATCACCATTTTCTGCTGATGTTACTGTTTTCTCCGTCCACTTCTTGACGTCGGGCTACGCTACCAGTATTGCGGTAACGAGCGATGGTACGAGACATAAGAGATTTATTCATATTTAAATGCTGGAGTGCTCTAACGATAGCAACTTGTTCTTTTCCAGCTAAATATAATGAAATTACACTTTCACGCTTGAATTCCTCTGAATTCCCAGTTTGAAAAATCATAACGCAAGTCAAAATATATGTAAATAACGGAACATTGGCTGAGGGTATGCAGCTGTCGGCACTACCGACTGATTCCATTTAACTTTTTTAGATATGGTATGTTCTTGGAAAATATTGCTTATAGATCTATGATGAGTACTCAAAAAGAGAAGTAATGAGGTTCAACATTTGCTTTTACTATGTATTAATTATTTTTAGGAGAATCTCGATTCTAATCAAAAAGGTTTCAGATCTGCAGAAACTTTACAGCAAATTGTAGTGATGTGGAGTATAAAATGGTCTTCCAACTATGTTACTAATTCATATAAAAGGTGTCAAAAATCGAAGAAAAAGTGGATTATTATGTCAGAGACCAAATACTGGGAAGGTTACGGATAGCATTTTTATAGCGTTACCTCAAGGAATGCAGTATTTTGAAGATTTAAGCCACATTTTTCAACGGAAGTGTTTTAAATTTGATTAAAACAGTCTATTTTAGAGGCCAGACAAAATACCACTTATTTGGTGCAATATGTCCTTATCAAAGTAATAGGTTGGTAGCCCGATTTGTAATGAGTATATATTTTAGCTGGATCGGTAGATAGAAATTACAAAAAAAAAAATTGTTCCAGTAGGGTATGCTAGTTATTTGATCAGCACTGTATTTACTACTTATAATGTTTTGTCTATTAAATGGAGCACACATAATTAGGGTAACTTTAGCCTACATATTTTTCTCTTCGAAAAGGTCAACCTCACTTAAGATTCTTAGTGCATGAAAGACCTTCAAACAACTTTACTTAACAAGTGCCGCCAAATTTGACCTAAATATTATAAGGTTTTCGGTAGTTAAACACCGGTCTGTTCTCAGACGGAATTTTTTCCCTAGACGCTATCCATTGATTTTGCTAATTTATGATAATTGAAAATAAACGCGATATCAACAATAAACCGTAAACATTATGCATTAATTTGCCGTTTCGATAATCTATTTCACGATGTAACTAAAAATTAAAAATCTGCCTACTTCTCTCAATCCGAAATCACTGTGTTCGAAAATAATTTACATAAAATATATGTTGACAACTTCACACAACAAGTTCATCATCTATCGGTAATTATGCATGGTTAGGTCTGTGGCTAATAGTGGATGACAATGATCGCGTGCCACCATGTTGGTGAGACAATGGCCATAACAACATGGCAAGAATCAAAGCTAACGATTGTAACAAAAAAACCCCAGCACAAAGTGTGCGACACCATCATTTGGGCCAATCAATAACCGAAACTTGTTCTAGTAATGGATGGTGTTGCTATTTGACATTGGCAATGGTTTGTAATCTTAGACGCTACGTATAGTTCATTCTACTATGACACATATATAAGAAGCAATGATCGGAAGGAAATAACATCATTCTCGAGTCACATCTTCAAGTGATCCAATCAAGAAGTTACAAAATTAAAGAAAAAATGCGTGCTTTCATCGTTTTGTGTCTGGTGGCTGTCGCTTGTGCCGATAAATTGGGCTACAACTATCAACCTGTTGGCCACTCTGATTCAGGACTATCTTTCAAACCTGGCTCCGTTGGAGGTGGTGCCAGCTTAGGCGGTGGTTTCAGCGGTGGTCTCAGTGGTTCCAATGGTGGTTTCAGCGGTTCCAATGGTGGTCTCAGTGGTTCCAACGGTGGATTCAGTGGTTCCAATGGCGGCTTCGGTGGTCCTGTTGATGGCGGTGTTGCCGCCCCCGCTGAATTGGAAAAGGAATTCTACACATTCTCTGCCCCTGAAGGTGAATTCGACGATGCCAATGCTGCTCAACGTGTTGCCGGTAGCTTGAAACAAGGTCTCCGTGTCATCTTCATCAAGGGACCCGAAAACAAAGGTTTGGAAGATGCTGCCGTTGCTTTGGCCAAGAATGCTGCCCAACAAAAGACCGCCATCTATGTCCTCAACAAACAAGCCGATCTTGGCGATTTGGCCAACAAGCTCAACAACCTCAGCTCCGGCAACAACCAGAAACCCGAAGTTCACTTCGTCAAATACCGTACACCTGAAGATGCTGCCAATGCCCAACGTGCCATCCAAAGCCAATACGATTCATTGGGCGGTCCCTCTCGCAGCGTCAATGGTGGTGTTGCTCCAGTCCTTAACTTCGCTTCTCAGTCTGCTCCTCACGCTCCCAGTGCCCAGACTCCCCAAAACGCTTATTTGCCCAGCTCTGTCTTCCGTCGCGTCTAAATTCATTAGTTTATGATAGTTAATGATAATTTAGGACCATTGTTTTTGTTATTAAGTTTTTGACATTGTTGACTAATGATTAATTGATTGACTGTGAATAAACGAAAATTGATATTATAACCTTATGTCGTCTGCTTTTGTTGTCTTCTGAAAAAAACTCAATTGGTTAGTTTCGTTTTTAATCAAAATCGCCAGCGGGAGAATTGTTTCAAGGTTGATGAATATTTCCGATTGGAAATCATCATAGTTGTACCATAAAATTGGAAGTCATTTAGATCGATATGGTCTTAAAACTAAATTGGATTGGCGACAATAAAATTTTATAACCGTTAGCTATCAAACAATATTGCCAGCTCACTGTAATAGTGAAAAAAATCATGTTGAAATTATTGGTTTTTGGTTACTAGCTGGCCCGGTCCGCGTTGCCGACCCGTACTTTTAGTCTTTAATGTATATTTTAAAACACAATCTGACTTATGTAACCAGCACAATTTTTATTATAAATAAAATAACTTCATAGTAATTTCAAAATAGAAATAAACTTTCATTGCAAATATTATAATAGATAATCACCTACCGCCGGTTTTAGATATTTTGAATAGACTGATCTTATTTTTCAGCCATAGGCTTTAATTTAGTGTTAAAAGCCTATATGATATAGAACTTCTATAATAGTCCCATGCGAAAATTCAACTCAATTTTTGGTATTGTAAAGAGCTTAGCAACATTTTTCATTCAAATGAGCTGTAATTTGTATTTCCAAAGTTTAGAATACCGGACTGCTGAAAGATAATTGCCCTTTTACGCCCATTACCTTAAGAATGGAATTCATTTCTTTGTCATTTAAATTGTGCGTTGGAGACTCCATAAAGTATATTTTCATCATAGTATTATTCAATGACGATTAATAAAATATTCAGTCCCGTGCTACTTTCTAATAATCTGAATTTTTTTTTTGTTGCAAAATGGTCAGGCTTTATCCCTTTATTGTTGTTTTTATAAAAAAACGTTTGTTTATTAGTGGAGAACGATGGTAATGTTTACCAGGGGGTAAGGCAGGGAATACCTTGGTTTCGGAAAGAGCCACCAATCCTCATCAGTTCCCTTGTTTTTGTCTGGGATATTCTCCCCAGAAGTTATTTTAAAAATAATAGAAGTTATTTTTAAAATACATTAAATAAATACATTAAAAAACATTTTTTACCTAAGTGACGAGATCGTAAGCTCAATAGAAGAGGAATCTAAGAATTAAATAAAACTAAACAAACGTTGTTTTTATAAAAACAACAATAAAGCCTGACCATTTTGCAACAACAAAATACTACGGTATCCCGAACAAACAAGCCACACTGTTCTATTAATAGACAAGGCACGGTCGACGAAGGGGTTTTTGTTGTAACAGACAAAACCAACTTACATGGTTATGCTACTTCGTTCAGGTTGAACGAAAGCATAACAAGTGGAGAAAGATGTAAATGTTTATAAGTGCGGTTGTAAGATTTAGAAGACTTTCCAAAAGAATTTTAGTTTTATTTAATTCTTTGGTTCCTCTTCTAAGATTGTTAATTCCCTGTAAGATTGTTCTCTACCCCAGAATAGCCTAAATACAATTTTTTAGCGAAATCAGTTGATGAATGTGGTCAAGGCCAATATAGGCTCTACTACGAAAATTCAAAATTGTATGCGAAGAGGTTTTCTACCCCCTTAAAACAAAGATGCCAAATATGGGCCAAAAAAGAAAAAAAATTAAAAATTGACCAAGACCCCAAAAATAGGTTAAATCATACGATGGTTATATAAATATGGTTAAAATGTAAAATACACTTGAAATCAGGTTTTACCCTTATCCGCGATTTATGACCTATATCAGATCTGCAAAAGCGATTTCAGGTATCTTAAATGTTTGGGAAGAATTTCTGGAAGGATATAAATCATTTTCTTACTAAATATCCAAATCGCTCTACTATTTTGCACCCTTTATATTCGGTATTTTACTGATTGCAGTCCCAAAGAATTTTGCATTTTGACCTCTCATTAGACGGATTATTGTCATATGAAAGAAGTAGGTCCACTTTTTGAAATGAGACCCATAACGCGTTGTCGGTCGTTTTTGTTTGTTTAAATGTGTTCGCATCTTCCTGCTGAAGCACGAGGTAGGCCCTGGAGTTGAAAGCTAGATGTCAATTTTAGACATGAAAGATCGCCAATCAGCATTTTATTGAGCACTTATTTAATTTTTATGTTGAAAAATTAATGATTTTTTTTATTTGTTAATAGTCGATTATCTTCTGAAATGATATAATTCTTATAGTTTCACTTACCCAATAAATATATACATATATATTCCCCCATATTAGAATTCAAAAAAAAAAAAAAAAAAAAAAAAAAAGAACACTACAAATGTACATTTGAAAATAGTAAGTCAAAATGGAAAAAAATCATGTAATCCTTTTCCTTTCCTTTTCTGATAAGAGACAATTCCGAATTTGTCTGAATCGTTAAAATCAGATGAGCGGTTCTTGTGTTATAAGCGTAGTAACTAACACAACTTTTTTATGTATAGATTTCAGGTAAAAGGAGATAAATTCGTTGTTCATAAGTTTTTAGGTCGTGCAGTAAATTCTCACTAACAGAAAATAACTCACAATTGGGAGCAAGGAACCGGTTATTTTTTGTTTCCTATTCCGTTTATTATTTCAATTCTCTTGAATGTAACGAAAAAAGTGTTTTAATACACTTCACCACTTGGAAAGTTATGTGCTTTAAAATATTTCTATGTGTGCCAGTAGTTTAGCGACGTTTCTCATATCTGATATTTGGAGTTAGGAAAAACTATATTTAATTTAACAAAAACAAGTTAAAGAGTACCCATCGGCTTTGCCGACCCACATCCTTGTATTATTATTTTTCAAACCGTTGACCCCTTATGGAGGAGGTTCTAAAGGAATGGATCAATATTGTCCATTTCACATCTGACCTAAGTCTGATATAAATATTATAATCTGCCAAATTGGACAATATAGACCAATCCCTTCACATTTTATGAGATATGTGATTATTTTTGGAAAATGTTGAAATCTGTGTGATGTGACAATTAAAGTAAACCCAAGTATTCAACTCCCTCTAATACTGATAAAATATGGGGATGTGTAATTTTAAAAGAGAATCGCTTGCTTATTTCACATTTTATAAAAGTTTTGCTATTAAAAAAATTAAATTCCTTTATGGGAGATGTACCAATACGTGTGGTCCAAAATATATCCATATTCACACCGGATCTTCTGTTATTGGAAATATTGTAAAATTCGAAGTTTAAAATAAATCTTATGCGAAATGATATGATATTGAGCGTTTTGGTTATTCACAATTTTAACCGCTTTGTGTGGGAAGTTGCAGAAGGAACTAACAGATATATGTATATCATCTTGATATCAGATCTTTTCTTAATAAAAATATTGGGATGTGCGAAATTTGAAGACAATTGGACTCTTACTTCACCTCCCCTTTGTGGGGGAGGTACTTGGTAGAGTGAACCGATATTACACATTTACACGCATGTTATTTTGATCATTGAAAAAAGTGGCCAAGACCCCAAAAATAGCTTAAATCATAGATGGTTATATAAATATGAAATCGGGTTGTACCCTTATCCGTGAGTTATGATCGATATCAAGACCTGCAAAAGCGATTTAAGGTATCTTAAATGTTTGGGAAGAATTTCTGGAAGGATACAAATCCTTTTCTTACTAAAAGTCCCATTCGCACTACTATGTTGCACCCTTTATATTTGGTATTTTACTGATAGTACTCCCAAAGAATTTTGCATTTTGAGCTCTCATTGGACGGATTATTGTCACATGAAAGAAGTAGGTCCATGCTTTGAAATGAGACCCATTAGACTTTTTCGGTCATTTTTGTTTGTTTAAATGTGTGCGCATCTTCCAGCTGAACCACGATGTAGGCCCTGGAGTTGAAGGGTAGATGTCAGTTAACATCCTATTTCGCACTTATTTAATTTTTTTTTGTGAAAAATTGTATATTGTGAAAAATTATTCTTCATTTTGTTCACAAAAAATCCGCCGAATTCAATATGATAATACAATTTGATAAAAAAAGAAAAATTTTTTTCTATTTTTTCCCGATTTGAGAATTTTTGCAATAAGATCTCTTTTTCGTGATTTTTTAGCGATTTTGAAAAAGTAATTATCTTTTAACTCTGGTGTTATCGCGTTAAATTATATCGATATCATCTATTCCGTTTCGTCACCATAATAATAATTCGTTACTACACTTCCATGTAACCCGCCATAAATTTCAGTTTTCAAGAAATCAAGTCAATTTAAAAAAATTGGTATTAATATTCGAATTCAAAAATAAAATATACAAAACACTACAAATGAACATTAGAAAAAAGTAAGTCAAAATGGAAAAAAAAATGCAAAATAAAACATTACAATTATACATTTCAAAAGTCAATGTGAAAATGTTAATATAACACATTTTTACGCGATTTTTTTTGGATATTATCCTTTTCGGAGAGGAGACAATTCAGAATTTGTGTGAATCGTTAAAATCAGTCCAGCGGTTCTTAAGTTATAAGCGTAGTATCTAACACAACTTTCTTTTATATATAGATAATTATTAAAGGTAGAAACAATGTATGTCCGTCTGTCCATGTTAATTTTAATCACGCTACAAGTCGCAATTATGGCCCGATCTTCACGACATTTAGAATGGAGGTGAGGCAAGAGCCAGAATAGAAGCCTATTGCTTTTAATGATCGCATAATATTTAGGGGTTGAAATGGACCCAAAACTGAAAATCGAAGCGGAAGTTAGCATGGGGCTAGAGCTTAGGGCTGCGCAGAAGCCTTCCAATTTTGATGGCCATCGGGTAATATTTAGTGGATGAAATAGACCATAACATCTGTGTTAAATAAAAGTCAAATTTTCCTTTAAACCGCGAATATTTTAATCCTGGTGAAACCACAAATAGACCAACAGGTCAATTCTGACCGTTACATAGATGCCGATAGTAAATATGTCTGATATATAGTGAAATGTATACAATGTGAAGATAAAAAATGGGGATGTTATCTAGAATGCTTATATC